GCTCGCAGAATACAATGTCTTAATGTACTGGCGGCAACATTGGCCTTTGCTGGTTCCCTCGCCGCCGCTTTGACGTCAAACTGACGTCTCCGCACGCAAACGCGCCTGCGCTGCCGGTGACCTTTTCTATGTAGCCTCTATGGATTTGACGTGGCCGTCACTGCACTTGATAGAAGCCGTGTAGATAAGTTGTTTCTAACATACTCCGCTTGATATCAGCACAGATAAAATAATCGCAACAAGATAGCGCCAAGTAGCGCCCAATGGCGCCAGCGTTAGAAACATTACATTCGTAATTAGGGCATCGAATTACCACTGGGAGGAAACTTATGGCGAGAATCAAGATTTTGAAGTATGTCGTAAAAGTTGATAGTGAAAAAGAAACAGGACTGAGCCTTAGAAGGGTTGAAAGAGTCCATCGCGCCTGATCCGTCTCTATTTTCTCTGGAGTTCCCGCCTTTTCTAGGCTTAGTCTTAGAGGATGCCCCCGTACATTGCGATAGCGCCAAAAATTGCCCGAACCTCAGGAATCACAAGGGCCCCTATCAATACTGTGAGGTGCTATCCAATCCCGCCGCCATTTCTGCTTAATGGTGATGTTGACTGACGACATGACGGCTGTTCATGATTCTACTTGTTTCATATTCGGTGTGTTCATATCGTGCGCTTGCGATTTTTGCGTGAATCTCGCACTCCGAATCCAGCCTGGGTTGGCGCTATCGCAAAATGCGGGGGCATTTAGTCTGAACGTATGCATTCTGGTAATCATGGTCACATACCTTCTATATTTGGTTGAAGCGTCAAAACGTGTTTATTCTGACCCAGCAGTTCCATTCTTGCGCATTCCGCAGGTTTTTTGTTCTGTTTTTGTGATATCTACTCCTTTCGGGCGCTATCGCAAGGATACGGGGCATCCCCTATGATTAAGTCCAGGAAGGGCAGAAACATCGGGGAATAAAAAATTTGCTCACGGACCTGAAGCCTCTTTCTATTTACCTAAGGCTTAGTCCTATTTTTGACAGAAACGACATGTTTTACGCAATTTGACTACTGCCACCACGATGGCCCGTTATGCAAAAACGCCTCTAACCAGGAAGGTCTTTCAGGACATGGAGCCCTTTTTGAAAACGGTTTTTTGCATGATAAAGGGCACATGCATGAAGTACAAAACTAGGCTCCATTTTTTCTGAGCGGCCCTCTTATGCCAAAAAAGGAGTTAAAAAAATTTCTTCAGAAATCGGAGTTTTCACACCTTCAACGTAGTTTATATCACTCGTTATGTTAAGTTGACGCACAATAGAAGATTTTCTTCACCTCAACGTTGAAAACAGCGTGGAATAAGCCAATATCAAAAATTGTATATAATAAGTGCTCAAAAGCACAAGGAAGTTTCATCAGAGTCGTTGACATTCATTGTACAGCGGTGGTCGGATGGTCGAGTGGATAGCAGCGTGATGGACTCTGGTTGGCGTTGTTGGCTCTCGAATTTTCCTCAATGGCTTCGGATTTTTGCACCCTTTTTCGAAGATATTTTCTGCATTTGCACGTGCTTGCGCGTGAACTTAAAGCCTATAGGTGTCATTTCCAAGAACTTTCTCCCACAATTCTGCGATATTTCGTAGTACCATGTTTTTTCAGTTGTGTACGAAATTCCGTTTACAAGCAATAAATAACTAGCAGTTATGGTAAAACTCAATGAAGCATCTGAATCACAGGCGCGGATCACACCAACTGCATCTAACGAACGCCAGAAAAGTGAAGTTGTCATTTTCTTCGCAAGAACACCTACTCCATTTCCCTTGAAGGCAGATTGCCGGCGTTGAGGAACGTCCAGGATGCTCGTCGACGTAGCCAGTGCCCACCCAGGCATACGCCATGCATCGACGAGATCAGGGGTGATGCCAGATTGCCCCATGGGCAGGAACTGCGGTGGAAGTGTAACTATCAACCAAACGTGTCGCTTGCTATCATCTCGAAGCTGTCTTCAAGTGGGAAGCGTGCACGCCGTACTGACTATGGGCTAACCCATGGCCCAATTTTTGAATTCGGGCCGAAATCTTGATCTTCTCTAAAACTGCGGCTATAAGGGTAATTATAGGCGCTGATTACGAATCTGACGTCCATTTTTGATGGAGGCGCGATATTGCGCCATTTTAGCCTCGGGCACCAACTCGGCGCCGCTTTAGCGCCATACAATTTTCGCCCCAATTCTGGGCAGAAAGCTAATCAGAAAGGTTGATGATGACCCTGATTGTAAGAACAGTGCATATTTCTATCGGCGGTAACATTTGGAGTTATTTACATGCATCGCGTAACATGAATAGGAAATTTTGTCATCAGCCGGGACCGATCCCTCGACCGATTTTTCATACCTTTCTTGGCGTTAGGAGGGTCGCTCAGAAAAAATGGAGCATAGTTTTGTACCCCATGCATGTGTCCCTTTATCATGCAAAAAACCGTTTTCAAAAAGGGCTCATGTCCTGAAAGACCTTCCTGGTAAGTCATCTATGCTTCTTGCTTTCCCTTCAAAGTTGAGCCTTAATACTAGGTTTAACTGGCGTTTTCTCTGGTCTGGACTTTCAACCACTAAATAATATTAAGCATTTGTATGTTTGACTACAGATTAACGAAAACCTATGCGCGGCGTTTTACGAAATGACTAATTTATGTTGCGATAGCCGTTTGTTATTCGAATATGTGTGTTAAATTGTGATAGTTCGTCATCTAGGCATACGTTTCAGGTTCCTGCATGACTGAAGTCTGGAAGTCACAAGGTCGAAAATTCTGTGAAATTTGCAGTTTGATCTGTTTTTTTCTGTTTGATAATTTGTATACCAAGGATAACTTTCACTCGGACTTTGTATTAGGGAATGATCAAATTTGATGCGATGAGGCGTTTTATGCCGCCTAGACAGAGATAATCAATTTCTTCAAAGGCGAGGACATATCCCAGGGGTGCTGAATCTTTTGCAATCGCTTAACACTACACATCGGGAGGCTTTACCTCCCCTGCAAGAAATGGATCACTTCATTCAATATGAAGTGTCGCCCAACATCCCCCTTACTTGATGAACCTTGGAGGTCTACCTCTCCTATGCGTATCTTCAAAAGGTATGAATGTAAAGACGCTAACCCAGCTCCCTCGTCATATTCTCTGTAATGGGTGGGACCTTTGCTTACAGCGAATCCAAAAAAAAAACGTCCGACAGATAGACGGAACCGATGCACATAATCAGTGGTTTACATTAGATAGTTCACTCAATTTTGGCAGTTTTCGTCGCCAAGCAATCGTTTATTGTAAAAAAAATACACAAATTTTATACAGCTATTCATCTTAGTAAGACAAAATATATTTCACTATTCTTGAACTTTTTTCAATTTTTTTTTCTGGGAAATTCGGAATCCCGTCAAACGATAGAGTTTCAGTTTCAAAGTGACCAATTCACCGACTCATTTTTGCACCCCTCGAGCTTTTTGGAAATTATCTGTCAGGTAGACTGGACTTCGTAGATCTGGTAAAGTAGCATCAGAAAGCGGTATGTCCGATAATAATGCTGGATAGAAGTTCCCATCCAAGCAACAATAGTGTTCATTTGGAAG